TTCTGTATCGATAATAACGAGTATTTCAATAAGATTTTTCAAAAAAAATATTTAATGTACAGATTCGACTCAGAATCTTATTATATGTATAGATTTCAAATATTTGCATAAATCTAAGAAAGTATTATCACTACTATGTTTATGTAATAAAGAAGAAATGTTGTTCATTGGTAAGCGCATTACTTTAGAACGATTTGATCATTGTTTTATAATATTGTAAAAGTAAAAAAAAATGTTTTTAGGAGAAACCAATATGAAAAGTGCCCGGAAAATTTGAGTAACGTAATTTCCGTATGAACTCAACGACCGCAAATAAAACCTATTAAAATTTCAATAACACATCTTCTACAATACAACGTCGTGTAGTCTAGTTTTTGTAATTATTAATTACAAATTCCGAATACTTTAAATCTTTTTAGTCGTAAACATAAAATTTTAGTTAGTTATGCATTGGGAGAAGAGTGTATTTTTTGTAACATAAATAATTTTTTTATCCTATAAAGTTGTTAGGTGCAAAAAATATTGAATATTTGCGCTCGTAATTCAAATGCGAAATGTAGATGGAGTCAATTTCTTAATTGCGTTTTACGCTCAAAAAAATATCACACTACGTTTGGTTTTATTAATTAAAAAGTTTCGGAATCAACTATATATTTAGCAAGTTCCGCGACTTTGCTTGCGCGAAAAGATTTTTCTGAGAACATATTACGTCAAATAAATGTGTCCATAAATTGATTGATATTTTAAATTATTGGTGCTATGGAGCTGTATATCTACAACCTACATAATATAAAATAAATAAAATTTAATTAGATATATTTATTATGAAGTTAACTTGTAATCTGATCAACTGATTATGTACATAAAAAATTTTGATACTATTAAAACTCACCTAGTTTTCCAGTGATAGCAAAAATTCTTTTTTTTTTATTATGAGATTTAATTTTTTTTAACAGTTATTATTCTTAGTATTACTACTATAAACTACTTGTAATACATAGTACCTATTATGTAAAAGTAATTTAAAATAGAACATATTTCTGATTTATAAAATAAAATTAAATATTTAATATACAAAATGGTTAATCTAAAAATTTGCAAGTGACATTCGTTTCAATTTTCTTGTTTTTTTCTTCTTTATACTTTACCTAAAAACGGTACATTCACAAAACACTATATTTCAGACGATATTACAAAAGCCCTTAAAAGGACAAAGCCTTTTTTGCATCCCGGTAATGTATCCGGGTGTCAGGGGAAAATGACAGCCTGTAAGGTTTCCCGTCTATAAAGATAAAAGGCAACGCCAACGTCAACTCTTTGTTTGAACTTTTATGTCTTTAAGTCCATTTAAAACATTCATTAGCGAGTATTTACTTTGAATAAGCTAGCTTAGAATAATTTAAGTAAATTGAAAGCTATTAAAATAATGCATAATATACGTATGTGCTATAATCGTTGAACGTGGTTAATAGTCGAAATTATTTGTTAGTAAAACTGTAAATAATGATAATTTTTATGTATAATTTACATTAAGACAGCACTTACAAATCCTATTAGCAATCCTATCGCTTAAAGCGGAAATATTCTACAGTAGTAATTTGCTTTAAAAGGTAAGTTTAGTTATTTAAAGCAGGCTTTGGCAAGAGAGTACCTAAATTATTTACTTCAAGATCTAGCCTTCGCTAGTGTAGTTGTTATAAAGCTTCTATAAGCTTGTCAACTGTCCTAAAGTTAAAGTAGCTGTTCTAGGCCCATAATTACGATTGATGTAGCATTTACAACTATAATCTTGTTAGAGAGCTTTTAGAAATTTTAAAACCTACGTTTAAAAATCAATAGAAAAATATTGGTTCTAGAGCAAAATAGTTAAAAACAAACATTAATTATATCAATTTTTTAACTTATGCATGATAGTTTTCATTTTATACATTACCTGTTGAAAAATTCTATTAGCTGTAATGATTTTTGTTCTTTCTGTACATAATATGAGTACTCATTATTTTATATTATGCGGAAAATTATATTTATCTTAATGATTCCCATTAAGTCGTAACTATAATAATAATATGAACACACACACACTATATATACATACATACAATGAAAGTGTAACTGATCGCTGTCTGTACATGGAAGATATCTGAGAAAATCTATTATTGGGGGTATTTATTAACGCAATAGAACCCAATGATTTTTAGTATTTTTGTCTGTTTGTCTGTGCGTTTGGGCGCGCTTATCGCAGATTCCGCTTGAACGATTTGGTTTTCACTAATATATTGTGGTAAGCTTCACTTAACATAAATAATATTTGTTTTATATGAATCGGTTCATAAATAAAAAAGTTATGTCAATTTAAATATTATAAATATAACCTTATTTATAAGAAAAATAATAATATTGATAATTATGCGGATTGGGTATAACAGTTATAAATTATAATATAAAAAAATAATGATTTGGATTTTGGAATGTTCGATGATGATTCAGTCAGTGACCGTTCTCTTCTCGGCCTTTTTTTGCCAACCTTTATTCATTAATTAAATATGTAATGAGTGCACATCCAATGTTTCAATAACGATTACCTACCTGCATGATTTTTTTGAAAATATGATTTATTTTGCAATCTAAATGCACATGATTAAATCAATGAACAAATGGTTTTGTTTGTTGAGGCTATTATATATTACTAGCGACTTACCCTCGCTTCGCAGGGGTTCGTCCCTAGCTTGCTTTCCAATACAAACTTTCATCCCCATTTTCACCCCCTTAAGGGATGATTCCCGGAATAAAAAGTATCCTATGTCCTTTCCAGGGCTTTAAACTATCTTCTTACTAAATTTCATCTAAATCGGTTCAGTAGATCCAGTGATTACTCTCTACAACGTCACAAACTCACAAACTTTACCTCTTTATAATATTAGTATAGATTTGCCGATATTGCTTTAGTAAGACAATATTTTATCTTCTTTATCGCTTTACACTCTAGTTTAGTAGTATTTAGTTTTAGTTCCGTTTACTTTCGCATGTACAAAATTTGCGAAAATTGACTCAGCAAATAAACTGGTACGCGGCGCTCTCCCAAAGCAACGACCTCTCAGATATGCCGAAAGCAAACAAAAGTTCAGGTCGCATTGTTGATTTATTAAAACGTACATATATATGTACCTATACCAAATTCGTCTTTTCAATTGTGCTGATTTCATTAGTAAAACTATTCTGCTAACCAATCTATAAGGAAACATTTTTATCACAGAATACGACTAAATTGTCAGAATTTCTGTGGAAACGTAGAATTTCAATTGAATTTTGTTTATCGAGGTTAAACGGAGGATCGCCGAAGAATTATTTTAGTTATAATGTTATTTGTGTGAATTAAAGAATTTGTTATAAGACATCTCATGTGTATATTAATCGTCATCACTATAAAAATGCATATATAATATTATTATTAGTCTACGTAAAATTCATTTTAAAAATTATCTAAACCAGTTCAATAAATGATTAGACTCAGCTGTTGATAAAAGCACTGTTATTTTATATCCCAGAATTGCAAGAGTGGGTCGCTTTAAGAATAAATAACGCATGTTCGTCATAATTCAGCAGAAAAATGTCTGATTCACGAAAGATGTAACGTAGATGGATTACTCCAGCGAATATGATATGTCAAAGATTAGCAAATGCAAAGAAGAAATGCCGAAAATGTTAGTATTTTTTATATAGTATAGGAATCCTTTTGTGTCTTTGACATCTATACATATAATAAAATTGTAACTAAGCCGAATCTGTACATTAAAATATATTCTTTTGGAAAATCTTATTGAAATATACATTATTATCGATACAGAGGCCGAATCTATAGTTTTTAGAATTTTTGTCTGTCTGTCTGTCTGTATTATCTCATTTCTGAGAAAAAATACAGAAACTTCAACGTAAAGGTTTACTAATACGTATGAAAAACCTAAGAATTTCGTTTTTAGTCATCTGAACGCGGGTGGAGCCGCGGGCACTGCTAGTCGTATATAAGCTATGTGTGTAGAATGCGATTTTGTCATAAAAGCTATGTTTTCATGACAAAATCACGTTCCTTAATCCCCGCTATAAAGTATAAGATTTATGACTTGATGGATATAACTATGATGCGCGCACGATACTTTTTATGAAAGTTACACACACGCTGCAGTCGGCGAGAAAGTAATCCTTCTTCGAGAAGCTCAAAGCTTTTTAAAAGATAAACTTTTAAAGTGTGATGATCTATAATATCCTGCATGCTAAGTTTGAATAAATAGCACATTCATTTTAATTTTATTAGGAATATGAAGATATTTATATAAAACAAAATACCATATTTGCTTTTTGGTCACCTGAACGCGGGCGGAGCCGCGGGCAATGCTAGTAATGTATATATGGCCAAAACCTTAGTTTATAGGCAACTAGCTTTTATGACGCACCATTCAAATAAACGTTGGCAGGATTAATACGTGGATAAGTTAGAACAACTACACCTTAAGTGAAACAGCACTTATATGAACAGTTTGAATACCTTTAGTACATTCAGAACTGTAAAGTTATAAGTAGGTCAAAGTAGGTCGTAGTCAATTTGTGTAGAGCTGTTTTTTCTAGATAAAACTGTCGATAAAAAAGGTAGGATTTATTTTTCACGTTGTAGCTTTAAGGTATTTATAGACTAACTAGCAGAACCCGCGGCTTCGCTTGCGCTAAAACTACAAGAAAACTTTAAAATGGTAGGTTTCATACAAACTTTCATCCGCTATACCCCCTTATTGTATGAATTTCGAAAAATGCTCAAACACGTATATAATTAATTGTATTGAATAGCATTTATACCAAGTTTCAATTAATCCTGATCATAAATATTTTTTAAATAAACACACTTTCACATTTATAATATTAGTATGGATAGTAATAATTGCTAAAATTAGGATATGCCGCATAGGATGGAGTGCCAAAATAATGTTGTAATGTATATGTAAAATACTCACCATCCGTGATGAAAGGATATACTGCCCGCAGTTCTGCTTCGTATTGTTCAAGTGATATGGGCGGTATGACGGGTGGTACATAGTCTTCCTCGGGTGACCTCTCCGAACCGTAGCCTTGATCAAAGCCCGGGTCTTGCAGCTTCCACACAGGTTCTGCATCGGATCCTGAGAATATTATAATATCATTTACAATCTGTAAATCTACACATATAACAAAATATGCAGTAATAAAGCGAAATCTGTACGTAAAATATTTTTTTAAAACAATTAGGTAATCTTGCATATTGCGTACAGAATATACCTAGACTCCAAATAATAGTTATTGTAATTTTTAGTAGTTTGCCTGTCTGTTTCTTTGTATATCTATTTGATTTTGATACAAAAAGTACTGAACGGAATTAAAGTAAATTTTGTGTAGTGAGAATTTATACTCGGGTCAACGATTAAGATACCTTTTACTTTAGGAAAATCTCTCATTCTGATGCGAAAATACAATAACTGGTTCGAGTTCGTTCGACTGAACCGATCGATTCAATAATCGATTATACAAAACTTTTAATAGCAGGGTTAAAATTAACATATTTAACGATTCCACATCTAGGTATATATAATATAAAAAAGTCGCTGCCTGCCTGTGCCTGTTTTTTCGCCAATAGGAAGAGCAATAAGCGAGGAAGGTTTATGAACCTATATAAAAACCTTTGCCTATTTAAAATGTTTGTACGTAGAGAGGCACCCAAGCGTAGCGAGGGCAAGTCACTAGTGTAGTATATTCATGTAAACTTTAGAATATCATATGAAATAGATGGAAGAGTGATCGCTAATTTTTTTCCAATTCCAATCTCAATTCTTGTAAGCATGTTTATACAAATCATGCATGATAGATGATCCGGGAAGCATGATTCCCCTGAACAATGTTTATAAATAAAATACAACAAAGTTTAGAATGAATTTCTATGTAAATTGTTAAGTGCAAGTATAATAGGTATAGCTTGTTTGGATGATAAATGCGATGAGCTTGTTAAACACAATTAACTTAATAGTTTGTTTGAGTAAATATCTGTTCAGTCGTTATCAAGTTAAAAATACTCTGCAAGCGTTGAAAAAAGAGTAATTACACAAAATGAAGGGAAAAGGCCTGAGATAAAAGAAAATAAAATCTCATTATGTAAGCATTATCTACAGCTATTATTCCTCACCCTTTCTTCTATTTTGGAGAAAAACCTAGAAAGTCTGCTTTTTTTGTTTCGTTTCCATATTACTTAGCATCCTCTTTTCAATTCAATTTGAATTCTTAAAGTTGATCAAGTTGAAATAGTCGACCGTGCCCGAGTTACTAACCACTTTATGAATCTCGCACTTTCCGTTTTTTAATGAAACATTTTCTTTGCAAATTTCATTAGCTCCTCGTTAAAAGCATTTCTGCTGATTTTATTAAAAATCGTAGGGGTTCATTTTGTTCAAAAATTCATTTACTTGTAAATCAAAATACATATTTTATATTCTATCTACTTACTATTATACGTATTATAAAACTAGCTAATAATAATTCAGCCTGCGCTCCCTTCATATTTTTATTTTATACTTACAATATTATTATTTCTCATATTATAATATATGTACATACATTTTAAAAACTGTGTGGTGACTTTTTAAATTAACATAACTTATAAATACATTAGTGAAAACCGCACACAAATTGGTTAAGCCGTTTCTAAGATTAGCGCGCACAAACGGAAAGACAGACAAAAATTATAAAAATCATTGTTTTAGATTCTATTGCTTTAATAAATACCCCCAATAATAGTTTTTCTCAAATATCTTTCACGTGCAGACAGCGATCAGTTGCACTTTTATTATATGTACGTATAGATTAATACATAAGCTATACATACATATAATAAAATAATATATATATATATATATATATATATATATATAAATTTATTTTTCAATAAAATAACGATCTAATAGTAGTACATAGTTTTATAGGTTAGGCAAAGGAAGCTGTATTATTATATAGGATCTAGAAATACTTCAGTAATGTATTGGGACTTTAGACACGTACGTTGTCTTTATACTTAGTGTAAGCTCTCTTTTTCAATTCACTTAAAGCTCTGTTCTTTTTAATATAACAATTTAGATTTTGTTACAAGGATACAATGTAAAACTTGTTTATATTATAACTAGCGCCTCACTCTCGCTTCGCTTCGGGTTCGTCCCTAGCAAAAAAAAAACCCACGGGAAGCGTAAATTTTTCCGCAATAATATATAGCTTATAGCCTCAATAAACGGGTTATCTAATGCAAAAAGAATTTTTCAAATCGGTTAAGTAGTTCTTAAGATTACCGCGTTCAATCAAACAAAATCTACTTCCTTATAATATAAGTATACATGATGATATTATTATGTGTACTTATTGTAATAATAATATTTATATATAAGTATAAATATAAGTATTAAGCAACTTTACTTTTTGATACATTTAATTGAGTAGATACATACCATACATGACACAATAGTGAAATTTAATTTCAAAACGTAGTATTTAAATATCTATACTAATATTATAAAGAGGTAAAGTTTGTGATATTGTGAGTTTGTGACGTTGTAGGGGGTAATCTCTAGATCTACTAAACCGATTTAGATGAAATTTAATAAAAAGATAGTTTGAGACCCTGGGAAGGACATATGTAGGATACTTTTTATCCCGGAAATTATCCCTTAAGGGGGTAAAAATGGGGATGAAAGTTTGTATGGGGAAGCAAGCTACGACCCCGACGCTGACGAACCCGAGCGAAGCGAGGTGAGTCGCTAGTACCTAATATAAAAGAACTCAAATTAACATTTTACTTAGATATTTTATACAATAGCGAAAAACATTATCAGAAACAATGGCTATTTTTGGCCGTGGCACAAACAATACTTTATTATAATTATGTATTATTTCGTTAAAATTCAACATTGTAAGTAAACTATGCCGTGTCTAATTGAGATTGTTCTCTGATATCTACTGTATATATATTTGTTTTAAATGTTTAGTTTTACAGATATAATTTCAATAATCATTAGTGATTAATTTTGAGCGTATAGATAGGTTCTATACAAGTAAATTTAGAAGTTCTTTAGAGGTTACCATGAGATTTTATATGGCCACAGGATTCGCAATATTGTTCTATTAATTCCTCCACGACCGCGGACACGCCCGCGTGTCAGTTAACAATAGATTTCTTAGAATTTTAATTAATTTCTTAGACATTTACCTGGAGTGCATATGATATCCTATAGGTATTTTACTCACCTGCGTGTTCAATTTAGTTTACAGCTGTCTAGAATACGGGGAGTATTTTAGCATCGACTAAAGGTACAGTCTAAATAAAACTCAATACGCGCGCAAAGTGCAATTAAAACTTCAAAAATATTTTGTTTCCATAACATATCAAATAGTAGGAAAAATATTCTATCAAATGTCCTTTTATTATTATAATTAAAATAACAATACAACCATTGTTAGATTAATTTTAAAATTTTAAATATATTTGAATAACATAGACAAATAATTGTTACCTCTTCAGAGGTTTTTTCTTTTGCACATTACGTAGGTATAAGTACATATTTTAATAATACTTTCTTAGATTTACGCGAATGTTTGACATTTTTAAATAAAACTATCTTTTCGGATTATTTCGCGGATTTATTTTGATTTTTGGTTCCCGACGTTTCGAATGCTTTACAGCATCCATGGTCACGGGAGAGACTGAGGTGTTACATGTCTTAAAGATATAGTTGTTACAGACAGCCTACCCATTTTGTTAATTGTGGGTAGGCTGTCTGTAAGTCTCAGTCTCTCCCGTGACCATGGATGCTGTAAAGCATTCGAACGTCGGGAACCAAAAATCAAAATAAATCCGCGAAATAATCCGAAAAGATAGTTTTATTTAAAAATACATATTTTAATTTGAATTATCATGTAAATTGGTATAAAATTTAGGTTAGAAGGGATATTTAGGTGTAAGAAGTAATTTCTAATATTATATACTGTTCAACTATAGAGGCCCCTAGGGGTTTGTATTTTGTAATATTAATTTATTGTGTTATTCAAATAACTAAGTGTTTGGTAAACTTATTATAGAAAAAAAAATAGGAACCGCCATAAGTTATCAAAATTGACTCATCACTTCCATTAATACAAAAGACGTGAAAGGAAAATAGAATAACAGTCATAAGCAACAACAAATCTTACGTGAACAAAACATGTTTGGAAGAACAAAGGTAAAATATCGGTTTGCATGGTACGGATTAGTTAGGGGCTTTCTAGTCAGCGTTACTAACATTGATTTATGGAGGCTATGCTTTCGGTACATTTTGCAGCGTGGTTTATGAATGTATGCAAATGTGATGCTAGCATACAATTTTCCGCACTTGCTTTTAAGCAAGCTTAGGTCACGGCTACAGTATGATTTGCAACTAGTACGATAAATTTTCGTCACTGAAATTATATTTAGGAAGCATGACCAAGATGCAGCTTTCACATAACAGAACTGGTAATAAAAATAAAACCTTTATTAAAGTATTATTTATGACAAGCGGCTCACCCTTGCATCGCTCGGGTTCGCCTCAACGAAAACAAAAACAAACCAATCCCACGGGAAACGTACAATTTTCGGGATAAAAAGTATGTATGTTATTCCAGACTATAATCTATCTCTGTGCCAAATTTCATCCAGATCCATTCAGCCGTTCTGGCGTGACAGAGTAACAAACATCCATACACACTCATAAACATTCACATATATAATATTTATTTATTTACTAGCAGAACCCGCGGCTTCGCTCGTGCTATAACTACAAAAAAAACTCTAAAATGAATTACGAAAAATGCTAAAAAACGTATTTAACTAATTGTATTGAAGAACATTTACTTATACCAAGTTTCAAGTAATTCTGATCATAAATATTTTGTTGGATTGTATTGTAACGTGTTTTCCCGTGGGAATTTGATAATCTCCCGCGGTAAAAAGTAGCCTATGTCACTCTCCAGCCCTCCAACAATCTCCACACAAAAATCACGCTAATCCGCCAAGCCGTTTCGACGTGAAAAAAGACACAAACAAACACACTTTCTGTCGGCGACGGAAAACCTATCTTCGAGTAACGACTAGGGA